GAGAAGTTTACTTATTGGCTAGAAGACTTTTCATATATAGTTTGATTGCCTACACCATATTTTGAATTTTAGATGGGGTTGCCCTCGTGAAGAGATAGCTGTCATCTGCAAAAAAAAAAAAAAGGGGGAAATTATTGGGCAATCGCTGTTTAGTTTCACACCTGAAATCCTTTTCTACAAAACAAGGTGATGAAGGTGAGTAGAGAGTGCTTCAGACACAAAGAGGAATAAATATGGGGATAATGGGTTTCCTTGTCTGATTCCCCTTTCTGGATGAAAGGTTCTACCCAGAGAGCCATCAATCAAGATTTGGTAAGACACTATTGAAATACACTCTAAGATCCAATCTACCCATTTATTGCCAAAACCTAGTTTTCTTAACACCCTCTCTAAGAAGCTCCATTTCACTTTGTCATAGGCCTTAGTCATGTCTAATTTTAGTGCCATCCAAACTTTCTTGCCCCCTGCTTTTCTCATAAAATCAATTATTTTATGGGCAATTAGGATGTTATCATGGATTTGCCTACTTGGGATAAAAGCACTCTGATTTTCACTGATTAATTTGTGCAATAGAGGTTTGACCCTATTAACTAAGATCTTGGCTATGACTTTATAAATAGTGTTGCAAAGGCTGACGGGCCTAAAATGAGTTGCTTCTATAGGGTGTTTGACCTTGGGAATTAAGGCAATGAAGGTCTTGTTAAGGTCTCTATTTAGGTGGGTAGTGCTAAAAAATTCTGAAATAGCTTTGCAAAGATCAGGACCTACAATTTCCCAATGTTTTTGGAAGAAAATATTCTAGAAGCCATATGGACTTGGAGTTTCTAGAGGAGCCATTTGGAACAAAGTTTCTTTGATTTCTTCCTCATTTATTTCCCTCTCTAACCAACTGCTTTCCTCTTCAGATATTTTCCTACTCATAGTTTCTAGGATCTCTTCTGGATCATGTACTGTTGATGATTTGAAAATGCTCTCAAAGTGTTGTGTTAGAGCTTCTTCTATTTGGTCTTCTTCATCAATCCAAACTCTTGGATCTTTTTTAAGACTAAGGATCCTATTCTTGCTTCTCATTTTCATGGTTTGTGCATGGAAAAATTTTAGATTCTTCTCCCCATGTTGCAGCCAATTCACCCTAGATTTTTGAGCCCACATTTGTTCCTCTCTCATGAGCTAAGTTTCCAATTCAGATTCTAGGATTTTGATCTTTATCTCATTCTTTGTGCTTCCTAAGTTCAATTCAGCTTCTATTTATTTTTTCGAACTTTCAATTTTGTGATGGACATTCCCAAAGACCACTTTGTTCCAGTGCATTAAATTTTGTTGCAGGCTTGAGAGATTGCTTTTAAATTTGTCTTGTGTTGACCCATTTGGTTTCTCTACCCTGCTGATTTGGACAATTTCCTTAAAACTCTCATGGGTTAACCACATCTATTCCATTCTAAAAGGCCTCTTCCTTCTTATAATTCCTTCAGTGTTACTAAAATTGGATAATGGTTAGATCCCATGGAGAGAAAGACTTTTACATGGGCTCCTTTGAATTTATTCTTCCAATTTAGATTGCTTACTGCTCTATCCAGTTTTGCTTATACTTTTCCCCTCCTCTCTTATTTTACCATATAAATTTGATTCTATGGATTTTTACTTCTGATGAACCACAACCACTGAGGAAACTCTTGTTAGAATTTAAGAGGGCATAATTACAAGGTTCCCTCCTTCCTTGTCTTGTTTGTTGAAAAAAAAAATTGAGGTCTCCACAACACAGCCAAGGTCCCCTAACTAGAGTGGACAGGAATCCCCCTTCATTCAGAAAAATTCTCCTTTTGTGCCTCTTTGGCTCTCCATAGATAAAAGTACAAAACCATTTGCCTCTCTCCTCACAGATTTTAGCATGAATAAAATGGTTATAATCAGCAAAGAGGATCTTGCTGATGATCCCTTCTTTCCAAAAAAGAACTAAACCCCCTTTTAGCCCCTCTGCATCACTACCCCAACAGCTCCAAGATTTAAAAAAACACAGCTTCTTTCTGCAATTTAAATAGGCCTCAGATAGGGTGATCCATTATATCCTTTTCCATCGTAGGTATATGGAAGTTCTTACTCAACTTTTGCATTAAACAACCAATTCAAACAATATAGAAGGTGTAGAGTTATGCAAACAAGGTACTCCAATTACTAACTTTTTTTTTTCCTGATGATTGCACTATATTTTGCAAAGTAGACTTAACACAAGCCAAAGCCCTGACCCAAGTTCTTAAGCCCTTTGAAGAACTCTCAGGACAGTAGATGAACTATGATAATTCTAGTGTGGTGTTTTGTAGAAATGTCCTTAAAGCAGCACCAAAATTCCTTTGTCAAATCCTTAAAATTAGAAAACCACTGTTGGGATCTAAGTACCTATAATAAATTAACATTGAACACCAAATGCCAACTTTTCCATCAAGAATTGTTGGATTGCATACGGTAATAGTCCTCTGTCAAGTGGTTGCTTTCCTACGGTAATAGTCCATTGTGTCAACTCATTTCTAATCAGCCTATCTAAAAAAAAGCACGACAAAGCTCCCTATGGTGGAAGGAGGGGTTCCAAAACCAAGCAATAGTGCACCTCACCATGTCTTGAACCTCAAAGTAGCAGATTTGCTTCATCTAGATGGATCATGGAATTTGTAAATATTATACCAAGTTTTTGAGACTTCTATACATCATATTACTTGGACACCAATTCGAATGGATAGAAAAAATGACATTGTGGTATGGTCGAGGAATAATTTAGGCACTTACACTGTCACACAGTGAGATCAACATATAAATATTTCTTAAGTGCTTTATTATCTTCATCATATCTACTCATTTCAATTGAAATCTACTATGGAGGCTTAAGATGATTCCCTATTGTTTCCAAGTCTTTACTTGGAAAGCACTATGGGATCGATGGAATATTTAGTTAAAGCAAAATGATCAAAATGGATTCCAATACAAGATCAAGCCTGTTGTCTTTGTAAGTCATAGAGGGAGACTTTTTCCATACCTATTTTTTACATGCATGCCCTTTCACATAGGGGTGATAATTGGACTGGATTTGGTCGAATCCGATCCAATACATCCAATGCGAGTCCATTACAAATGGACATGGTCCAATCCAGTCCGATGAATATTTTGGACCATTTTGGACCGGTCCAGAGATTGTCCAATCTGTTCAAATTCCTGTTAATTTAGATTGGTTTCAACTCAAACCTGGTCCATTAGTTGGCACCTATGTTCTTATCTTCTATCAATGAACCAATGTCTGGTTCTATCCAATATAAATTCATCATGGATGGACCAGGTCCAATCTAATATGTCATATTGGTCCGTCCAAATTGATTTTGACTTGGATGGTGCCCAACCCAAAACCGGTCCATTGACACCCCAACTTTTACATGAGTTGTTTGGTGTAATGCACAAATTGGCATTACAAAACCTCTTCTTTAGTTGGATAGGCTCTTTGAGATCACATTACGGCAAACAAGAGAATGAGAGATCTCCTGCAAAACTCGATCGCCTTCATCCTCCAATGCACTTCCACCAATTTAACCATTGTTAAAGGAGCCATGTTGGGCAGCAGACAGCTATGGTGAGTCTTAGTAAGCGCCTTGGAATTAGCAGCTTCGAATACTAATCTTACCAAGTTGAGCATTCACTCTGACTCTAAAACTTATAAACCTTTTGAATAACAAGAATGATAACTATGACATGGAAAGAGCAACTTCATTGATTTCACATCAACAATCTAATCAAGTATTTCCGATCAATATATAGTTTTTTTCTTTTCATGTTAATAGAACGCAGAACCGAGTTACTCACATTTTTGCTTATTTTAGCTTGTAAGCTACGATTCTGTATTCAACTGTCAATTTGTTCTGTTTTTTAATGAATGAAGATGCTGCTTTTTCTTTGAAAATAAAAACGAGAAGAGTCAATGTCCATAAAACCCCATCAGAAGAAAAACAATACTGCAGTAATATATGTAACTTTTGATTGGGTTTCCTTGCTCATTGGCACAGCTTGCATTGTCTGTAGCGGGTTGGGAGTCGAAACAAGGAGCTTTTACTTTCAAAACATTATGGAAGGATTCCCGTATTACAACACACTAGTGCAAGATGTTTCATTCAACAAACCAACTAATTAGCACACGTAAGACGTACACAGACAACCGAAAAGAAGGGATCAAGGTAGGTAAAAGCAAAAGAGTCACACACCGAAATGCACGCGTTTAGGTTTAGAGGGAGAAACACATGCATAAACCTGCTTGCATAGTTTGTTAAACGTTGATGCTCTGATTTCTTTTCCTCCGAAGCAGTTTTACCAATTTTTTCAGCCCTCTTTTCAGCAAGCGAATGGTGTGGATCAGGAGAAGAAGGACCATGACGCACAACCACACAACAACCACAATAACCAACTTTTTAAACATAGTTTCGTAATCAGATTCTGATGCCAACCCATCTAACGACATAAGGTAGGTTAATGTCATTGCTGTGATGGCGATCCACATGGCCACCATCAGAATCCACACAAAAATCCTGTGCCTCATTGGTAATCCACTTACCAGCAGCAGAATTATGCTCAGAGAGGCAATTAATCCCAATGTGTTGCAGTTGACAAACCTATGGAATGTGTCTGGATACATATCAGCCATCACAGAGGTGCCCGCAGTGTGTGGTGGTGTGATAGCATTGGTGCTATTATCACTACTATCTTGCCAAACTCCACCAGGAGGATTAACTCCTGCTTGAAAGGCCATGGTTGCAATAAGCGATGCAACCACCATTAATGTACCCCGCTTCTTTTCCACCCAGTCTTCGTGGTTTCGAGGCTTTTTCCTCAATTTTGAATCCATTTGTCTTTCATGGATTACTTGATCATGTTGCGCAGCTAGAGAGATCTGTACTACGGGATGCGTTGATGTGGTGTGATGATGGGCTGTTGGAGGTATATCCCTGAATCTTAGAGCTCCGGCACCTCGAAGAGCCTCTTCCATGTCCATATCCATCAAATCTCTCGGACCATTTGTTAAAACATCCAAGGCTGTGAAAGAGTTGTTGTTTACAGAGTTCACTTTGATGGCTGTTTTCTCAAGCAAAAACCTTACCATCTGCACATTTTTTTTCTTTTCCACCATTACATTCTCATCTTGGAAATGTATTAAAAGCATGTATAATGAAGAATTTCTGTCTAAATCATTAGATCTAGGAGAGATGAAAGTTGAACTGCATAACAACATACAGCAGCTGAAAAGATTCACAATATTTGGTAAGGACCTGATTGCTTGTTCCATTAACAAGAGATACGATTACATAGGAAGTAATAAAAATGCATCACAGATTCACAGTTGAGGGAAATTGTCGAAAACTCACTCACCATGACTTCTCAGCATCTCTTAAGTTCACTATAACTTTTCAAAACATCCAGGAAATTAACCCCTTATCAATGAATGAGTTTTTGTTTTGCAAAACTAAACATCCCTTAAAGCACCGTTAGTGTTCATGACCAAACTGCCCCTGAACAGTGAATCAGCCTTATTAAACATATTTTATGACTAAAATGCCCTTAAACACCTAACTGCCTTATATATAAGATTTCTATTCATTGAGAGACGATTTGCTCTCATTGTGCTGCTTGCAAGTATTCTAAGGAAACTAAAAAAATGGGTTTTGAGTCGAATAATAACAGGGATATTTCTAAAATATTAAAAAATGGGTTGAATATAATAAAGGGTAACTGATACAGTTAGTCTGTTTAGAGTGAAGTTAGTGATGACCTGGGGTTCGTTCGACGTTTTGAAGAATTATATATGGTGAGTTTAGAAAAAATGCTGAAAAATCATGGGGAATTTTAAATGATTTTCCTAAATAAAAAAAACTGACATTAATTAATTCTCATCTTATATTAACTATATTTTTAACATAAAAAGGAAAAATATTTTCTAACTGGATTAGTTATAATTTATTCATTAAATTAATATTAAATGGTGTTATTTGCAAAATTATTAATAGAAATTAATGGAATTTTAGGTTGTTGAGTTTTAAAATTAATTTTTGTTAACATAATATGTATGCGTGTAGTGAGCAGTCAACAGACATTGATGTGTATCTGACTTTGAAGATCTTGGCCTCTTGGGCTTGATTTGTAATCACATAACCTCTTAATCTAGAGAATGATAGGACGGTAGAATCTTACTTTTGGCTAATTTGATTTAATTAATTCTGGTAAGCTAAGATTCTTTATGTAAGATTTCTTTTCTTAAAATGCACTCATGTTTCTCTTCTTGCTTTTCTCTTTGTTAGTCATGCTGGCGTATGTAAGGGCTCTTCAGTTCTTCTGGTTGTAATCAAATTTTAGTAAAACTCCAAACCATTTGGTTCAGATTTTAAGTGCAAAACTATATTCAATTCTTTAATACGGGTTGACTCAAAAATCTACCAACAACCCGTTGTAGGATTAATTTTGGCTAGTGGTTCAAAAAATTATTAGAATATCAATAATTTAAGGCTATGATTGTATTAGCTTCTGTTTTTGCGCTTTGGGGTTGTGGTAAACAAATGTGTTATACACATACAATAACAACTGTTACTTTTAAAACAAAAATCAAAACGGTTTTAAGCCCACAAAACAAATCCTTCTTTGTGCTTTGGGGCTTTAAATAAACTTATCTTCGAATACAACCTAAATTACTATCATGGTGTTTTTTGGGACTGATTTTCAAGAAAAAACGCTTATACTTCTAAGACTCATTTTTTAGAAAAAAACGCTTCTATCACGTAGGTAGTGAGTAATACTATGCTGTTTGATAAGGTGATTTTCATCACCCTTTTTTCATGTATGTACTGACAGGTAAGCACCACATAGGATATACATCAGTCAACCGTTGGGAAAAACAATTCACCGATGCATGAAATGCCAAATTTGGCGTTTTATGCAACGGTGGGATTCCGATTTTTGAGGCATGTACCCGATTTTTTAATAATCGGCTGAATTGAGACGCCTATATGGATCCGATGTGACACCATTTTTTTGAAAAATAACCATGGTTCCAAACATCCCCTATATCCMAAAGGTGTTACCCAGCTGGTAAAAGCCTTTCTTTTTTTTTTTTGTATTGATCAAAATTCCCATCATCAAGATGTTTTTTTTCATCCCCAAAGCTTTACTTTAAGCCTAGTGGCTTAAAATTTATTAACCATTATCAAAATTATAAAAAAAAAAAAGTACCCCAAACCTAAAATAAAATGTACAAAAGGAAGGCCCAAATTATCCTCATGATGAAGAAGCAACCTGACATAGTCTAAAACGGTTAAAAACCTAGTTAAATTGGTGCTTTAATTTCAACGCCACAGGTATTTTGATTGGTGTGTTCTGGAAATTTTATACAGAGATCAAGGTTTGAAGTTCGAAGGTGATTCAACCATCATACCTCAATCTGCTTGTTAGCTACTGCAAGATGAAGAACAATGTTGCCATCGCCATCCGTATGGTTCACAAAATCAACATCACCAATTAATCTCAGCAACAACTCCAACACCTCCAATTGGCCATGCTTCACACAGAGATGTAGAATGGTCCCTCCACCATCCACCAACACCCTAGTTACTTCTGGTATTGCTTGAGCAAGCACCTCCACCACCTCAGCTTGGCCTTTCATAGCTGCCAGATGGAGTGGCGTTCTCCCATCTCGATCACGAGAAATACAAACATCTATCATCCCCGTCGGCAGCAGCAACTCCTTCACGACTTCAACATGGCCTTTTGCTGATGCCAAGTGTAAGGGTGTGTGACCTTGTGATTCATCTGGCTTCAAAGCAAGTTTAGGCTTGTTTGATAGAAGCACTCTAACGAAGTGGACGTGTCCAAGCACCGAGGCTATGTGTAAAGGAGTCTCAGTGATGCAAGCTCCAATACCTCTGTCAAGAATGAGTGGGTCCTCTTGAAGCAATTGAAGCAAGGAGCTCACGTTCCCTTGAAGTGCTGCTTCACGAAGTCTACTATCCATTGAGATCTCTCAATTGTTCTAATCAATTGATTTGTTCTAAAACAATGTTGTCACTTCACTTGCCGGAGAATTTTGCTGCCTTAAATAGGCAATTGGCGCCAACCTTAACATGACATCCACTTAATTGCCGTTTTCCTCAAGTTATATCTATTTTTTATTCCTTTTTTGCCCTTGTATTGACTACTTATTACACTATTACGAACGTAGACAGGTCAACGACCAAGTCTATATATTCTTGCACAAATTTGAGATACGTCTCGAGACTCGAGAGCAATGATCCAATGGATGACTAATGAAAATGAAAGGGTGTTAAGCCAAAACCCTCCATTCCTTGCACAGGGAATCTACTAATTCCAACTATCAGTAGGATGATTTTGACTTCTGCATCAAGTTTGTCGCATCGAAGACAATGATTTCTCGCAAGCGCAAGGGAAGAAAAGAACCTTCAATTCTGAATTAGGATGCGAAAAGTCTCAGAAGGGAGCTGTGTTGGAGCTTGGAAGCCTTGAGGTTGAGGATTAGCGAGTGGCGATCTGGTCATGGAGAAGGTACGTACGTAGACAATATATCTCTATATCCCCCGAGAGGCTGAGACATTCCGTTTGGCTGATTATTCAGGACTCCTGGACCTGTCGTCCTCTGAGAGAGTGAGAGGTTAGCCTGCAGGCAGCTGGTCAAGTGCTAGCCCCAGCTGCCAAGTCTTTGGTTTTGTACCCACTCTAGCTCTTGCAAACTCTTAACATTCTTCCCAAACCGAGCCTAAATACCAAATATAAGTGGTCCAACGGAAGGTCTGATGAGCAGCTGCACACAATAGGCGTGTACAAGGGGCTACGGAATCAATAAGAATGATACATCAGTACTGTAGTGTTTCATGCATGGCCCCATTGCACCCGGTAATGCCTCGTGTGTAGGGACGTGGAAATTGGGGTGTTCATTCTTCATTGTACGGTTCAAACCGTAAAACCAAATTGAACCAAATCGAATTTGCGCTTTGGTTCGGTTTCATAATTTTGAAAAATAGGGTTTATGGTTTCGATTTGGTTTATTAAATTTTATAAACCAAATCAAACCATAAACCGTTTTAATATAATATAATACTATATACATCGAATATTTTAGAATTTAAATTATAAATATATAATCAAAGTATTTATTTTAATCATGGTAATGCCTCCATGAATTCACAGGTTAATAACACAAATTTCTCTTGGATTTCTCTACAAATGCATTGCAAACCACAAATATTTGTGTGGAATCCTTGCGCATTTTCTTAAACAACACAATGTTTCAAATGTGTGGTGTTGAGTGCATTTGTAACACATACAACACACTATAATTTTATTATATATGTCATCGTCTGCACGGTGAAACCCAATTTCTTTATGCCATGCCTATCTCTACAAACGACAAGTGTCAATGGCTACGAAACCCTATCAGATGCAAGACATGGCAGTAATATGTACTGATGATACTAGCAGCTGATGTGTTTGTGTTTCTTCTCCTCCGAAGCAGTTTTACCAATTTTTTCAGCCCTCTTTTGAGCAGGCGAACGGTGTGGACCAGTAGAAGAAGGCCCATGAGACTCAACCACACAATGATCCCAATCTTCAACTTACAAAGCATACCATATTCAGATTCCAGTGCCAAGGCATCTAATGACTTAATGTAGGTTAAAGCCATTGCTGTGATGGCGACCCACATGGTCACCATCAGAATCCACACAATAATCCTGTGTCTCATTGGTAATCCACTTATCAGCAGTAGAATTATGCTTAGAGAGGCTATTAATCCTGCTGTGTTAAAGTTGATGAATTCATGGAATACGTCTGAATACATATCAGCCATCACAGAGGTTCCTGCAAGTTGTGATATATCTTCATTGTTTTCTTGCCAAACTCCACCCGGAGGATTAATTCCTGCTTGAAAGGCCATGGTTGCAATAAGCGATGCAACCACCATTAATGTACCCCGCTTCTTTTCCACCCAGTCTTCGTGGTTTTGAGGTTTTTTCCACAATTTGAAATCCTGTTGTCTTTCATGGATTACTTGATCATCATGTTGTGCAGCTAGAGGGATCTGTACTATGGGATGTGTTGATGTGGTGTGATGATGGGTTGTTGGAGGTATATCTCTGAATCTTAGAGCCCCGGCACCTCGAAGAGCCTCTTCCATGTCCATATCCATCAAATCTCTAGGACCATTTGTTAAAACATCCAAGGATGTGAAGGAGTTGTTATTTACAGAGTTCACTTTAATGGCTGCTTTCTCAAGCAAAAACCTTACCATCTGTACTTTTTTTTTTTGGCACACATTCTCATCTTGGACGGGTATTAAAGGTAAGTAAATTTTTTTTGGGTCATTTATTAAAACACCTCCTATAGTTACATGATTTTATTAAAACTTATGCTATAGTTTGTGTTTTACTAAAGCATTCCCTATTTATAGTTTATAATCAATTTACTTAGTCAATCTTCCATTAGATGAAAGTGGAAAATGGCAGTTTTAACCCTAACATCCATTCAAATAAATTTAATCAAAAGAAACTAAAAAATATATCAATTTTGCCCTTGATAAAACATGGATAACCACTATTTTTCTCTATTTGATCAATTTTGCTTTCTATACAAAATTGTGTTAGGGATACTTTTGGAATAAACAACCATCGATCCATACCTTTGAACATTTTCCACTCAATTCAGGGGTGCTTTTGGAATAAATAACCATGGGTCCCTGCCCTTGAACATCTTTCACTTGGTTTAGGTGATCATGTTATTATTTTCAGATGGCAAAACAAATAGTTAGTTTTTAATGAAAACTATAAGTTTAAGTAAAATGTAAAACTATAAGGGATGTTTTAGTAAAATACAAACTATAGGATAGGTTTAAGTAAATTTATAAAATGATATATAAGGAGTGCTTTTTTTTTATATGTTCTGAAGGGTTAGACAATGGGAGGCATAGACCATCTCCCCCAACCCATAACCCACCCCACCCCTAAAAAAAAAAAAAGGGTGGACGCCGGATTCGATCCCAAGTGAGCTGCATAATGTTTGATAAGGACTTGAGTGCTTTTTACATTAGCAAAAGACACGATTACATAGGAAGGAATAAAATTGCTTGACAATTAAATAAGAAAAAAATTGGCATTAATTCTCTTCTTATATTAACCATATTTTTATCGTAAATAAAGAAAAATATAAGGCTACAACTTGGATTGGATTAACCCGAACCCAACCCAAAAAAGTCAAGTTGGGTTGGGTTGCATACCACTATATATACTACTATTTTATAATTAAAATTTATTAATTTCTTTTCCTGAATAATAGGACGGGTAGAATCTTACTTTTGGCTATATAATTTGATTCAATGCACCTAAGCCAAGATTCTTTACGTAGATTTTCTTTCTTAAAACTCTCTCATGTTTCTCTTCTTACTTTTCTCTTTGTTAGTCATGCTGGCGTATGTAAGGGCTCTTCTAGTAGTAATCAAATTTTAGGAAAACTCGAAACTATTTGATTAAGATTTTAAGTGCAAAACCATATTCAATTCTTTAATATATACGGGCTGACTCAAAAATCCACCAGCAACCCGTTATAGGATTTTGGCTAGTGATTCAAAAGAACATTAGAATCTCATTAATTTAAGGCTATATATATGATTGTATAAACTTCTGTTTTTGAATACGCATATATATGACAAGTGTTACTTTGAAAACAAAAATCAAAAACAGTTTTAAGCCCAAAACACAAATCCTTCTTTATGCTTTGTGCTTTGTAGAAAATTTTATACAGAGATCGAGGTTTGAAGTTCGAAGGTGATCCAACCATCATACCTCAATCTGCTTGTTAGCTACTGCAAGATGAAGAACAGTGTTGCCATCGCCATCCTTATGGTTCACAAAATCAACATCACCAATTAATCCCAGCAACAACTCTAACACCTCCAATTGGCCATGCTTCACACAGAGATGTAGAATGGTCCCTCCACCATCCACCAACACCCCAGTTACTTCTCAAGCACCTCCACCACCTCAGCTTGGCCTTTCTTAGCTGCCAAATGGAGAGGTGTTCTTCTATTTTGATCACGAGCAATACAAACATCTATCATCCCCGTTGGCAGTAGCCTCTCCTTTACAATTTCAATTTGGCCTTTTGTTGATGCATGTTGGATTTTAATCTTATAAGAGATTAAATTCAATGGGTTTAATCAATCAATTATATGAGAAATTGTATTTGCATACTTGTTTGGAAAATTAGTTTTTTCTTACAAAATTCAATTTTAAATTTGTCCAATATTAAAAAATTATAAATTTTGTTTTGAATATTGTAATAGAAACAGATTTACACTCCTTAGTAGAGGAGAGTATAGGGGTTTGATAAAAAAATTTGCTATAATTTACTGCCTTAAATAGGTAATTGGCGCCAACCTTAACATCCACTTAATTGCCGTTTTCCTCAAGTTATATATATTTTTTATTCCTTTTTTACCCTTGTATTGACTATGTATTACACTATTACGTACGTAGACAGGTCAACGACCAAGTCTATACATTTTTGCACAGATTTGAGATACGTCTCGAGACTCGAGAGAAATGATCCAATGGATGACTAATGAAAATGAAAGGGTGTTAAGCCAAAACCCTCCATTCCTTGAACTGAAGGGTTACCTTAATTGGATTGATTAGTACAGTGATTTCTACATTTGATGGAATCCACCAGGTCACATCAAGTTTGTTGCATCGAAGACAGTGATTTCTCGCCTTCAATTCTGAAGGATGCGAAAAGTCTCACAAGGGAGCTGTGTGGGAAGCCTTGAGGTTGAGGATTAGCGACCTGGTCATGGAGGTAAGTAGACTATATATCTCTATATATGCTGATCAAGGGGGGCCTGACCCTGAGAGGCTGAGACCTTCCGTTTGGCTGATTATGAGAGAGTGAGAGGTTAACCTGCAGGCAGCTGATAAAGTGCTAGGCTATATTTAAGACTATATTTAATTTGTGTTGATGGGACGGGTCAGCATTGTTTTCAGCAACTTGGGGGAATATTTGATCATTCATTGTAGATGGCCCAATAGATTTTCTCTTAACACCCCTCCCAAACTGAGCCTAAATACCAAATAAAAATGGTCCAACGGAAGGTCTGATGAGCAGCTGCACACAATAGGCGTGTACAAGGGGCTACGGAATCGGTAAGAATGATACATCACTACTGTAGTGTTTCATGCATGGCCTCATTGCACCCGGTAATGCCTCGTGTGTAGGGAGAAATAGGGGTATTCATTGTACGGTTCAAACCGTAAAACCAGACTGAACCAAATCGAATTTGCGCTTTGGTTCGGTTTCATAATTTTGAAAAATAGGGTTTATGGTTTCAATTTGGTTTATTAAATTTTATAAATCAAATCAAATCATAAACCATTTTAATATAATATAATATATATCGAATATCCCTCTATATACATTGCCGATGACATCCACTAGGGGTGAGCATTATTCAGTTAAATAAAAAATCAAACTATAATTTTTTTGGTTTGACTAATTCAGTTTTTAGAATTAAAAATTGGTTAACCAAAAATGTCGAATTAATCAAAATTCATTATATAATATATAATATATTTATTTATTAATATATTGTATATAGTATATTATAATGAAATTCAGTTTCATAATATATATTAATATATATAACCAAAAACAAAACAAAAGATTTCGATTTTCTTGTAATTTAGTTTTGATTTGTTTAATTTGATTTTAAAATTTTAATTTATTTGATTCAGTTTTTAACTAAATAAACCGAATGCTCACCCCTACACTCCACTGACCAACGACCACCACTGCTATTTCCGATTTATCGTCGCTGATTATCTGTCACTTTGGCATCCATTCACCTCTCTCTCTCTCTCTCTCTCTCTCATCTTGTCATCTCTGCTTCTAAGTTCCAACCCTTACAAAAGCTCCAACCCAAGAAACCTGAAACCATCTTCCTCTATTCATCCAAACCATATCCACCCCATTCCCACAATTGTCACCGACTCGCCAATAAACTACTAGAATCTCTCTCTCATCTTCCCATCTCATTTCTTCTATTCTTTGAAAAAGAAAAGCCCTAGCCCCTTTATCTCTGTCTTTGGACTCTGACCTGTGTTCAACTGTGAACACTGAACACTGATGAACTGAAAGTACAAGAACAACCGAACAAGGACTCAAATTTGGACTCGAGAGACAAGTAAAATATCAACCATTTTTGAAACTTTGGAGTTTGCACAAAAAAATTAGGATTTATTTAATTTTTTAATTATATGTTTTACATACATAAGAATGTTTTTATTCATGTTCTGATTTTTTACTGCATTTATATAATTGATTATTTTACGTTGTTCTTAAGGTTTTTGCTTTTGTTATACATTGTACATATTTAAATTGTCAACAATAAACTGATTTATCTTTCATTGCAATTTTATTAATAGATTTATATGTAAAGTATATTCCATTGTTCTTTGTTCAAATGTTTCTAATTCCATATTTGTTTGGGTCATACATGTTAATATATTTCATTATTGACGCCTCAAACTGGTGACACTCTGCACCAAATGATCCTCTTCATAGAAGGGATCAAAGTCCCCAAACCGTATTAGAAACTGCACCAAACTATAATAAAATGGTTTGGCTTGGTTTGGTTTCTATACCAAAATAGTTTAATTTGATCTGAAAATTTCTGAAACTATAATTTACTGATTTGGTCTGAGATATCCTCTAAACCTCATCAAAACGGACCATGAACACCCTATATGGAAAGCATTTGTGGATAGGAGATTCAGAGTGGGCCCATGTGTATGGAGCATTGGCCAATCCACTTGACATCCATGATTGTAAATATGATCAATATTCATCAAACATTTCAAACAATGCCTGTTATGATTCCTTTTCTTTTCTTCAATTATATATTTACGGAATATGAATGCCTTTTTTTTTTCTTTTAACTCATGAAACATTTGCTTTTACCCTGAAATTGCTTTTGTTAATGTTATTCTTTAAGTTTATAAGAAGAAATAGAAGGAGAGGAGCACTAGTGGTCTAGTGGTAGAATAGTACCCTGCCACGGTACAGACCTGTGGCCATTAAGAGCTCCCAGCCGATAATGACTAAATAGTATAATAAGATATTTAGAAATAT